AAAACAAATTTATAGTATTTTGCTTAATAAAAAAATAAAATTGTGATATAGTAGTTAATTTTGAAAAATAATCTTACAATAATAACATGAAATTATGTGAATTTTTATTCAGAAAACACAAGTGAAGGTGTATGTAGTTAATTATATCGAAAGGCTATCGCATTTATAGATATATTTCCTTATATATTTGAAAATAAAAAACTATTAAAAATTTTTTAATAGCTATGTAATTTGAATTTGTGCACATTTGAAAAGAGTACAAAGAAAATGCTTATCAAGAACTCACATATGACTTACCCTTAAAAGCTTCTGCCTGAAATCAGGGGTACTTAGGTCCCTATTAAAAAATTTTAAAATAAAATGCATTCGCATTCTTATGAAAAGAATTAATAAACTGTCTAGTTTGCAATTTTGGCAGCAAGTATATGGGCGTATGTTAGCCAACTTTTTATATAACAATTGAGCTATACCTACCTTAGAGTAATTTTTTTTAAAATAAATACAAAATTTTTCATCTAATCTTCTAATATAACTAATAAACTCGCTAGGAGGATGTACCAAGCTGCAACCATCAAATTCTTTTTCAAGTGTGAAGAGGTAATCACTTGAAACATTATTTGCGCAAGGTAGGGAAGCTAAACAATGATGTGACTTAAATATTTTTAAGTACATCCAACCACAAACGTAGGTAAAAGCATTTAGCTTAAGAAATGTTTCTTCACTTAAATCAATATCGACACTGAAACTAATATTTTGCAGAAATGAAGTTTGTGGTGAACAAAATGATTCCGTATACTGCCAATAAGTATCTTTCACTAACGTATCATTGCAAACATTTTCAACAGTTTCATTACAACTATTTAAACTGGGATCACTAATAGAAGCTACGAATGATGGACAATCAAAATCTACAAGTTCCTCGCAATTGCCTTTGTTGACAACATTCAGATAGCTAAGACCCCAGCCCTTTTGAAAGAGGGTTATGAATAGGTCTGATGTTATAGATTTGGCATTCCCCCCTCCTCTTCGTATTTGCCCAAAAAAGTGCTCAAGCACATCTTGGCAAAGTTTTCTAGTCATTATGACTTTAAAACCTTTCGAGGATAAATATTGCCACATACAACGAATGCTGTTAATATTAAGGAGCCATCCTTTAATAAAGGAAAAATTATTAATAATATTTCTATCTTGGGCGTCTTTGATAATTATTGTTTTTAAAGCAATTTCAGCTTCTTTCAAAAAGTCCATTTGGTCAATGGAACCACTAAAGCCTTTTTTCAAACCTAAGCTATACATACTGCTTGAATTAAAAATATCAAAAAGATTATTAAAAAAAAGACAAAATTCAGCAGTGCTTGCGGTGGAAGAAACTAAATTTAATAAACCAGAACTATACAGAGCATTCATGCCAGAAGCAACAGTATTACTAAAAACTTGAGTCGCAAAGCGCACACGCATTTTTTGAAAAGAATTTGGCCTAATGTGCTCTATTGTTAATCGTGGCGCACACCTAACACTTGATTTGGAATCTACTTCACAAAAGTGGGCAATATTTTCCCATTTAACTTCCTTATTATTAAAAATAATTTTATTTTTACTACTTATTAAACAATTTCTTGTACTCTTTATCAAATGGGGAGCATCATAAAAGAAGAAAATATCTTCATCGTTGACTTTAAAAAAGGGATGATGCTCATCTACACCTATCAAATTAGCTAACTTAATATTATTTTTACCCTGATCGCAAACAAAATGGCAGGGATACAAGTTAATGCCTTGAAGTTGCTTTATCACTTCAATTACAATAGATTTTAAAGTTTTACCCTTACAACTTCCATTTACAAGGAAATATGCAAAAGGTTGGGACCATTTTTGCCACCGATACCCTGAACCATGAAAGTCAAGACTGCACTTGCGATTTTGCAAGTACGGTCTTCGTCACCAAAATCTTCAAGGCCAATAATTTTATCATTGTGCCTATCATATTGGAGGTGAGCACGTAAAAACATTTCATCGCAGGATATCGAAACAAATCTCTGTTCGTATGTAAATCCGCGACTTCGCAACTCCAATGCCTTAATGCTGCTATGAGTACAGCCAGGAGATTTTGACCAGCTTTGAACAAAATTTCGTAATGTTCGTTCACATGGCCAATTAAAACTTTGACGTAAATGTCGATAAGTTAAGGGTGAAAGAAAATAAACTCCTAAGGCGATAGTTTTTAATTGCGTATTATATCTGCAGCCGTTTGGTAGACGACTGCAGTTCTCTAAGCTATTTCTAAGGGATACCCGGAAACTTTGTGGAAGTTTGTCACAAATTTGATTTAAAAAATCAACTTCAGACCTTTCTGCCACACTACTTAATGACTTACATTCAGAAAGTTTTTTTTGTAATTCTATATTTTCTAGTTCTAGCTTCGCTAGTCTTTCATTACCTAAACGTATTTGCTCATCTTTTAATTTTATTATAATATATTTTTCTTCAACAACTTTTTCTACAGTTTTTAATTTTTTAACTACAGCTGTAAAATCTTCTCTTAATTTTCTTTTTCTGGGAATTCTTTCAGAAACAGATATAGTATTACTATTCAATAATGGCCTAGCTAATGTAGACAGTTTGGGACTTATAGATTTATTAACTACACCACCTTCATTGTCATCCTGAATGCTTAAAGAATTAAGATAACTTAAAGCTAAATTTTGATCAGGAACAGCGCTTTTTGTTAAATTCCTTGCACACATCATATTTGCCGAAAAATGATTACTACAAGCGAAAATATTTTTGTTTGTCATTCTAACTCCTAAGCGCTTTATCCACTCGTTTCTACATAATAAAGTAAAATTTAAATCGGTGAAGAAAGTAATAAGTAACAAATGATACACAATGAGGGTTAGCTGAAAAGATGCTCCATGCAAAATATTTTTTATTTACTATATATAGTATATAGTTATAGTTATATATACATACATATATATTAAGCTTTATTGCCATGCATCACTTTTATAGAAAATGCACTTGCGATATACCCGAAAATAATTGTTTAAGATTACCGGATCAAAAATGCATTAAAGCCGTTAAACGAAAAAAACTTTGAGAAAATATCATATTAAAATTTTTTATAATAAATTAATATGTTTTTTATAATACACAATTCTTATTCCAGAAAAAGAATAATTTTTAAAAAAAATGTTATATTAAGGCAATTCAATTAGTGTTGAAAATAAAACAGAAAACAGAAAACAACAAAATACAAAATATTAATAACAAGTATTCTTTGATGCTAAGTATCGACACATTACTACATTATCGACACAACATAGAATTTCCCTCATTTAGAACGCAACTTAGCCGAACTCGCACACGACCTTAATATCCCACACTTATCAATGCAATTTCAACTGTTGTGCATAAATAAGTAAGCGCACATTTAAATTAAATTAAATTAAAAATGGTATCTCTGCTTTTAAAGATATAATTAATTTTGTATCAAAGAAAATTAGTTTCTGAACTTTGGCACTCGATTACTTTTAAGTTAATCGACCAATCTATAAATATTATTACATCAAATGAAAGCTAGATGTGTCCTCTTTCGATTAAGCTAATTTGCAGAAAAATGGTATCTCTGCTTTTAAAGATATAATTAATTTTGTATCAAAGAAAATTAGTTTCTGAATTTAACACTCGATTACTTTTAAGTTAATCGACCAATCTATAAATATTATTACATCAAATGAAAGCTAGATGTGTCCTCTTTCGATTAAGCTAATTTGCAGAAAAATGGTATCTCTGCTTTTAAAGATATAATTAATATTGTAACGTAACTTCGTTTTTACAAATTTTTGCTTTCCATTTTTAAAGAAAATTTGCTCTATACTATATAAAAACTAAGTATATTTAGAAAACCAAACATATTTTTTACTGTTCTCTGTCTTTTATTTCATAGTTTTTAATTAAATAATAATGTTTTAATTAATTAAAATGTGAAATGACATCGTAATAAAAAATCGACGCTAACTATATTTTGACATTAAATTTCCCAAATTTATCGTCAATGCAAATTAAACTGTTTTGCATTCACAAGTTAGCGCATAATTTAATTAATTTTATTTAATTTGTTAATCGAACAATATATATAATATTAGACATTAATTGGCTTAGAAAAATTCTAGTTTTTTGTTCAAATAATATCTTAGATGCAGTAATATTAATAGAAATTCGACGCTAACTATATTTTGATGTTTAATATCCCACATATATCATCAACGCAATTTTAACTGTTGTGCATGCCAAAGTTAGTTCACATTTAATTTAATTATATATAATTTGTTAATCGAATAAGATATATAATATTGTATATCAATCGTTTTAGAAAAAATTCTAGTTTCTTATTTTGATAATATCTTTGATGCAGCAAGCTTAATAAAAATTCGACGTTAGCTTTTCTTTCGCAGTACTATGGACTTATCAATAACTCTGCAACTGTACATTATGTTTTTCAGTGCCATTTTAATTTTTCAGCGAATTTAATTTAAGATGGTATGCCATCTATTAACTAACTTCGTATAGAATTGTTGAATAATTAATAAAATTAAACTAATTTCGATTTTTTTCAAATAATTGTGCTTATTAGGGTATTGTATTGAAAGTTATTTATAAAAAAATGGTACCTCTAGTTTAAAAGTTATTAATAAATTAGTGATCCCATCTCTTGGGGCTGATTTTTATTTTTCATTTTTCATACAAATTACATCATTTACACATAAAAGTTGAATGTAGATAGTAAATTAATTCAATTTTCTACTTATTAATGCCTTTTGCTGCATTAAATTTATTAAAATAATAAATTTTTCCTCAATTAAACTATACTGCATTTTTCATGCGGCGAAAAATGTTCCATCTCCATTTTGGACTTATCGTCGACGCTATCTTCACGCACATTTAATAAACTTAGAAAATTTCATGTTCCATTTCCGGTTTGGTCCTCTCAGCGTCATTGCTATCTAGGTTCAGGTGGACAGTTGAGGTAATACCTTTAACCTAACTCGTGCAAATGTTTACAAAACATTCTACGAATTTGTTTTTCATTTTACTTATTATATTTTAACCGGTAATATATGGATCTAATAAAAAAATTTCTGATAAATTTATCATTTAAAGTTTAAACTGTCTCATAATTTACGTTTAAGATTTCTCTGATGAATCACCTATTTTGAAATGTCGCCTGGGTCAAGAGACGTGATTGCTGTATTGCGGGGTGTACAAATAGTTACGGAAGCTTTGACTCGTGAACACAGTGAAATTTTTAAACATTTGTGGTGTAACTCTAGCATACGTGAAGTTTTGAATGGCACTTTAAAAGTTGGAAGTAAATGTTTAAAAGAAGTTGGTCAAAACCCCACTGAGGAAATAAAAAAAATACAGCAATTACTGCAGGAAACTAAAGATCGCTGCTGTATAGCCGCTGTGGGTATAGGTCAATTAACTGGAGCCAAAATACCTAAAGGATACAAAATGAGTAAAAATTATAGTAATGATGTAAATACTGGCTTGAACCCGAGTTACGCATCTAGTGTAACGATCACACCACATACACAATCTGATGCTAATTTAGACATATCTTCAATTACATTAAAAGAACTTGAAGAGATCCTTTCAACTCGTAATAAAAATCGGGGTGTTAGTTTACGTACTGCGAACACAGAAAGTAAACAAGTTCGTCCGACAGAAAATACATTGGAAACTGAGCATAGGGTATCAGCTGAAAAACTGAACGTAGATACTGCATATGTTAGAAATGTTATAAATTTAGTTGGTAATAATATTAGTTCTAAAAATCAGCTATCAATTGATTTTAATAGTATAGAACTACCTGTGCTTAATAAAGTAGCCAAACAACGTAAAGTTCCGTCCAGTCGAATAGGACGCATGGCATCGTTTGGCGGATTGTTTGCTGGATTGGGGTTTGGTACTATAAATGAACTAACAAAAGGTGCTTTAGGACTAGGAGGCTCAAAAAATGTGAAGGAAGCATTTCTAAGCCCTGGTAATGCAGAGCGTATAGTTGATACACTTTGTAAAGTCCGCGGTGCAGCTCTTAAAATAGGACAAATTTTGAGCATACAAGATTCTAATGTTGTGTCGCCACAATTATCAAAAGCGTTTGAACGTGTTAGACAGGCAGCAGATTACATGCCCGACTGGCAAGTTGAACGAGTAATGAATATGCAAATTGGAAATAACTGGCGAAGTAAGTTGCAGTCGTTTGATGACAAACCGTTTGCTGCTGCATCTATTGGCCAAGTAAACATTTAATATTTTTATTGCAAAATGATTTTTTACAGGACTTTGCTTAGGTTCACAGCGCAGTTCTAAATAATGGCATAATGGTGGCTATTAAAATTCAGTATCCAGGCGTAGCACAAAGTATTGAAAGTGATATTGACAATTTAATTGGTATGCTAAAAGTTTGGGATGTGTTTCCCCAAGGTTTCTTTATCGACAACGTCGTTAAGGTATGATTACAAACATAAATCCAAAATATATTAATATAATATTTTAGGTTGCAAAGAGAGAATTAACTTGGGAAGTTGATTATAACCGCGAAGCTGAGTATACAGAAAAATTTAAAGAAATGATAAATCCATACCATGAGTATTATGTCCCCACAGTTATTAAAGAATTAACTACTTCCAGTGTTCTTACTACGGAGCTAGTGCCTGGTGTACCATTAGACAAGTGTTTTGATATGAGGTTATGTATTGCAAAATTGTCTCAATATTAATTTCACAAATATTCACACTTTATAGTTATGAGCATCGAAAACATATTGGAGAATCTGTTTTAAAATTATGTTTGCGTGAATTGTTCGAGTTACAGTGTATGCAAACTGATCCGAATTGGTCAAACTTTTTGTACGACTCCAAATCAAAGCGATTAATGTTAATAGATTTCGGCTCAACCCGTTTCTATCAAAAGAAATTTATTAAAAATTATAGAGACGTAAGTATTATACAGTATTAATATTTTAATATAAATAATTATTCCCAAAATGCAATTACTGATTGTGGACTATAATTCTAATTTTATATGAGAGTAATTAAATGTAAGAATGCTGATAATCGAAACTTAGATACCAAAAATATATGTACCAAAGTAAAGCGTAGTTCATAACGGATATAATCATAATATAATCCAAATCGAGAAATTCCATAAAATTTAAAAAAGAGCGATAACACTAATGCTGCATTCATACCAAACAATGAATACTGAGTTCGAATTTAATCAAAGTCTGACTGGATCAAATTAATGTGAACGATCCAGATTAACAAAAGTTTTGTTAAAAGCCGAAATCAATTTGGCTAACGAAGAGTACAATACAATGGCCACAAAATAATAATAAATACTCCCAGCTAACATGAGTGATATATTGTATAACGCTCAAAATAGTTGTTTTGCAAAAGTAATAATGTTATATATTTAAAAATATTATTAGCTTCACAGCTCGGGGTCAACTTTAGTTGATCAATAAATGCAAATACAGAGTTTTTCATTCAGACGCAGTAGTCGTCGCCCAAAGATCCTACATAGAACTTTTCTTAGAAAAATTTTAAACGCAGGTTTATCATTTAACATCCATACTTCTGCGTTATACAGGTACGATAAGCTATCTACATCACGTAAATTTTAGCGGTCAAGAGAGAGATCTACATGTCAATTGCCTACTGAACCCATAGTATTACCTACTAGCAGTGATAATATTTCGTCTGATCTCCAGACTTAAATTGTTGTCCGTTACGGTGATGCCAAAATAAATTAAGTAGTGATATTCAAAAGTATAGTGGCCAGTCACCAGCAGCAACCGACATATATTCGCTTTGTCTTCATTCATCCCTATGTCCATATTCGCAAATTGTTTTTCGATAGCAATAAAAGTATAAAGTAAAAAAATAAAAGTACTATAACACCTCACCTGCTACACCCAATCATATCGATGTCGGTGGCGTTAGTAAAGAGCTTAACACATTTGTGTAGTACCGTTACTGTGAACGTCTGCAATGCGAATTAAATACCTAAAACGAGAATTCACTTTGGTGAATTTAATTGTAATTTATTTAAACATTCAATATGTTAAATGTTGTGTAGGAATCTTAAGACTAAATTATATCTAACATCTTTGCTTATATTTATAGCAAAGATTTGAAGTATCGAATTCATGATAATATGTTTCATTGTTTGGTTAGGTCAGATGTTTAGTTATAATATGATATTGAAATTCAATGTGTTACTGAAGATTGTTTGTTTAGGAACAAACGATCTTCTAAATTATCATTCCTGCTCATTTAAAAGATATGAGGTATAGAGATGTAATTCCTCCAGCTCTTGATCTCCTTAATAAATATATTTGGGAAGTAATAAAAAATTTATACAATTCCATACTTTTTTTTAATTTGATCTAATTCGCATTTTGTTAATGAACTCTCCTGAATTCTGTTTTTAATTACAATTAAATTCTTTTTACATTTTAAATCTAATACTAATATTGAACTTATAATAATTATGATTATTATTCCACTTGGGATACTGTATGCAATAATATTATTCTTATGTTTAATTTCATTTACTTCATTAGTATTTTCAATAATTCTTGTTTTTATTTCCTCCATCGTTAAAGTTTCGTTAAAAATGACATCTATTTTTGGGAAAACTATTTTATCTAAATACATATTTCTTTTATTTGTAAAGTATTGGTTTAATATTTCGAAAAAACAATTATTTAAGTGTATTAAAAAATTTCATGTAAGTGTTACATTTGTTTTGTGACAATCAGTATTAATATTGATATTTTCTACATTTTTTGATATAATAGTTTGCTTATCAGCTTGTATTAGTTCAGTACCTTTTTTTTTTTAATTAATTTACATGTTTTCTTGACAATGAAGTATTTTAATAGTTTACATTCGTTTAAATAATGGTTCTCAATATAAATATATGTGCTTTTATTATATTTAAAAACTTTTTCTGTTTCTGCTTCTATTTCTTTCTTTTTTGATTTTAGTATGGGAAATAACATCGTTATTCTTACTTAATTAAATACTTTTGGTACTTTCATTAGCTGTTCTTAGGTATCGTATTTTATCAATGTTCCGATATTAGTTATTAATGGGTGTATTATCATCTTTGTTTACAATGTTCCGATTGTTGTTATTAGAATTAAGGTGTATATCAGTATCTGTAGTATTAGAATATTTATTATGCTATGTTCATACAGCCAAATTTCCTTAATTTCGGAAAAATGAAATTAAGTTAGTTTCAAAAGGGTTCATACTGCTCCAAATTAAGAAATCATATGTTATTTATTTACAAATGAAATTACAAAAACACTATTTGTATTTGAGATATTTTAAAATTTGATATTAAAATTTAAAAATTTGATTTTTGAAATAAAATATAAATAAATAAAAAATATATTATAGAATAGAAATAAAATAGAATAATAATAAGGTATTCTTATTATAACTTTTTTTTTGCAAAATATTTGCCATCGTCAAGCTACTGCAAAAATAATAAGTAGCGCCTTAGACAATGAATTAAAACATTGCTACTTTAAATCAACAAATAGAGGATTGCTATACTACTTGGAACAACGTCATCTGTACCAAGATCATTTTGGAAATTTATAAATATATCATCGTACATTGAAATGATGATATTTAATAATTTTTTATAGAACCGACAATCAGCATTTTGGAACATGTGCTGTCACACGAAAGGTGTTGTTAAGTTCTATATGAAATTTATTATAAAAATCAATTGTATCAATTATTATAATTGTATTATTATTATTGTATTAATTATATGTATACATAAGTACTTTAAATTAGCTTCTTATGTTGTTTTTGTTGTTGGTTTTATTTGTGTTATCAAATATTTTTAGCAATGTTGCTGGCTCTCACAACTAAATATTCGTACGCTATCAGCGTGCCAGACGTAATATGATCATCTTCACACGCTACTGTGCAAGTTTGATAAGCATTATGTTCATTTTCTTTTATCGTGTGTTCGTTGTGAGTTGCAGCAATAGGCAAGCCGCTGCGATAATTCTGTTGTTCCCACAGGTGCAATATGAGTTGGCGCATGGCTTAAGTGATAACACATTTAAGTCACCAAATTTGTGAAGCAGGTTGATATATGGCAAAATACATATACCAGCTTGATGGTTGCATTAAATAGTATAAGCATACTATGCTTAGCATAGGTAATGCACATATTTCCCACGAGTGCCCTTGGCCTTGAATGTTCAAAGTGTTAAGAATTTTGTATAAAAGCACATGTTCATAAAACATTTAAATGTTCAATAAACATTTAATTCAATTTCAAAACCTGAATTCAACCAAGTGTTTTCTTTTGGTTTAAGTGCCTTAAGGAACCTTGATCAAAGTCGGTTTATGTGCCGAATTTGAAGATCAATAAATAATAAAATAAATAAATAAATACCTATATATATATTTACATATATGTAGGCAGGAACGGGAAGATCTGGCAACGCCAGCAAAAAGGAACGAGAAGAGGCTTAAAGAAACAAGCAGTAGTTGGTATTAAGTCGTCGTGGTAGTCAGTCGTTTGCGCGCTTTGATATATAGAACTAAACAATAACTATTAAATAAACATTCTTATATAGATATAACTAAATAAATACTATGGAATAAATATTCCTACATTTGGGGGCTCGTCCAATGTACAATAATTAAAGTGAATATAAAACAGGAAAAAAAAAGCAAGTGCGAAAGCAAAAAAATGTTGCTTGGGTGTAGAAAAACGAAGTTGAAACAGTTGAAAAGTGCTACACAAACAACAATTGAAAGTAGTAAAGTTGCAGAAAAAAGCTAAAAATTGGCATGGAAGACGTAAATGTAGAAGACAGTGGAACAATTTTGACAAGAGCAGCGAAGAAAGAATTTGAAAAACAACAGAAAGAAAAAATAACGCGCATCGAGAAGGAAAGCAACAGTGAAGCAGAGGAACGAATAGAAATCGAAACAAAAACTTCAGAAGGCGTAAGCAACATCAATAAGAAAAACGTGGAAACTGACATAAACAGCAGTAGCAACAACAAATCCAGCGATACGATCACTATGGCTAATACAGAATTAACAGATTTAATACGGTTACTAACGGCTAAGTTTACAAATGAAATGTCTAATTCGAGTACAAATGGAGAGGATATGATTCCATGTTTTGATGGCGAAGCAGGAATGGCAGTAGAAAAGTGGTTCGAAAATTTGGAAGAATTGGCAGATGCATATAAGTGGTCAGACACACAAAAATTAGTGTTTGCAAGAAATAAGATAACCAAAGTAGCAAAACTTTTTGTGCAAACACTCACAACAAAAAATTACAGTACATGCTAACGGAATTTACGCATACTTATTCAAGTATAGAAGTTCACAATCAACTACGAGAAAGGAAGAAGAAAGACAGTGAAAGCGCCCATGAATATATATTTGACACATGCGAAACATCGGTGCAACTGGATCAGTTGAACAAAAATCCGTGATTCAATATATTGTTGACGGAATCAAAGGAAGGCCAGAAAATAAAATGACGTTATACGCTGCAAAAAATTATTTGGAGTTAAAAGAGCAAATAGAAATTTACGAACGCATAAGTAAAATGAAACCGATGAATGAAAAGTACGGGAAAAGCAATGAAGTAAAAAAGGAGCACTGCTACAATTGCGGCTCAAAAAAACATAAACAACGTGAATGCACAGAAAAGCAAAAATGTTTTAAATGTAACAAATCAGGCCACATCGCAAAAAATTGCTTAGAAACCAATCTAGGAGCTAAAAGGGTAAATTGTACTTTAGAGATGGAAAAATTAAAATTGGTTAGAATTGACAACATAAAATTTAAGTGTTTAATTGATGGTGGTGCCGACATAACTCTGGTAAAACACAGTTTATTTAAAAGCAATTTTGTGCAAAAGCTAGTGGAAAATTA